TAATTCTGTTTTGGAAGGGGCTGTCCCTGTATTTCCCGGCTATCCGAGCAGAAAGGGTGGCCATGTGACCAAGCTCTAGCCAATAAGGGGTAAAGCGTAAATTACTGCGGATTGCCTGGGCTTCCGGGAAGGCCCCATAGGGAGCAGCATGACTCAGCTGGGAGTCCTTGAGTCCCACCCTCTCTCCTTCCTGCAGGAGGACATGATAGCATATGGAACCATAAGGTAACCTGGAGGATGAAAGTTACATGCTAAGAATAATCGGAGAAAAAACAGAAGGAATCTGAGACACACCCTCCCATGCCTCTGTTTTCTGTCCCGTGAAGCGAGGACCATGGTGGAGGGAGGTAGGTGGGGTAGTAAGATGCATTCACTCACTCACTCCATCAAAAAGTTGAATGCCTGCCTGTTCGGTCCTGTTCCAGGCATGTGGAATACATCACTGTTTAAAACAAAGATCTTTATCTTCACGGTGCTTACGTTCTAGCTGGGATAATAACTGTGTTATGCTGCACACTACAGTGCTAGAGAAAAAGCAGAGGGGGACGAGGCAGATGTAGAATGGTGGGGACAGATGTGAACACATGGTGACAGTAAAACATGACATGCCTATTTCCTAGAAACTAGGGTTTGGTTGTGCCCAATGTCCAAGCACTTGGTAATATGCAAGAATGCTAAAGGAAAAAAAATCAGGGACCAAAGCTGTTTGCTGTCACATTCCAACCACACGCCAACACTGTTCCTCGACAGGAAGGAACACTTAGGCAACCTACTGTCGCAAAGTAAGTGTCCATCGAGCAGCTAACACAGAAGTCGTAAACCCCTGAGAGGGAGCCGCCCAGTAAGGGAGGCTGTATCAGAAAGGAGGGGGACCCAGGGGTACATTCTGTTATTTTTATAAAGTGTTGGTCTGAGACAATTTTTGTTTTATCCACAAAAAATAATGAAATTCCTAAAGCAGAGGATCTGGGATTGCTAACACGGAAAACAGGCTCCCTTTACACTATGCACTGTTCTCACCACCTTCACATCTGATTACCATCTTAACTATTTGCTTTTTTAACTCATTTTTTAAGTGGAAACTTATTTGAAAGGTAATAATAGCAAACACACAGGTCCAAGCGCCAGACACTGCTCTGATTTAATTCCCATAAACCTGGACGATCAGTACTAGCTGTGTCCCACCTTCAGATGAGGACACGAGGCTCAAAGAGGTTCAAGATTTCCCTCAAGGTCACACAGCTACTAGACCCTAGAGTCACGATTTGAAACCAGGCTGTCCGATCAGAATCTCCATACTGGCTGAGGGAGGATAACTTTGCTCTATTTTAGAATACTTAAGAATTGCATTTGTTCTTTTTTTCTTAAGAAGGAGCTGCAAGAAGAAAAAAACAAACTAAGAAATCCTTAAACACACAAGTATTTGTGTACGTACAGTAGCTACTCATTAGCCACAGAAATGTAAACGTGCTGTCTCATGCATGTTGGGAGTCAAAAAGTCAGATTCTTAAAAATGATCTTAAAAACAAAAAAGAAAATGGGAAGTGACAGTTTCTGGGCACAGGATTTCTTTTGGGTGTAATTAAAACGTTCTAAAATTGACTACGGTGACGACTGCACAACTCTGTGAATGTGCTAAAAATAATTGGATTGTACGTTTTAAAAAGCTGAATTTATGGTACACAAACTGCAGCTTAATGAAGCTGTTTTTTTAAAGAAAACTGACAAGAACAGCCAGGCATTGAGGAGGAATGTGAATGGACACATGGGGTGGGGTCCCCTAGGGAAGACTGTTGGCTGTGCCCCCAAATTCACATAAGCTAGAATGTCTCAGGCTTAAAAATCTATTTTGTAAGTTTACACAGAGCAATTTAGTCCATGTCGTGGACAGGCTGATAAGACTGACGGACTGACTATTGATTTATCAACTTTGGATAAAAACCAGTAAAGGGAAAGAGATGTTTAAGTCTGTTGTGAACTGTCTGCATTTATGCAAATTTCACTGGGAGGCAAATGATCCCAGGAAGGCTGTGGGGAGGGTTCTCAGCAAATTAAATAGGAAAATGTAGGGCGCCTGGGTGGCGCTGTCAGTTGAGCGTTCGCCTCGATTCTGGCTGAGGTCATGATCTCGGGGTCCTGGGATCAAGCCCGGTAGGGTTCCATACTCAGCGCAGAGTCTGCTTGGGATTCTCTCTCCCTTTCCCTCTGCCTCACCCACTCTTGCACTCTCTCTAAAATAGATAAGTAAATCTTAAAATCAGTAAATAAATAAATAAATAGGAAAATGTATGTCGAGTGCCCAGTTAGCAAACACGGTGCCCAGCATAGTGACTGGCTAGTTAGAGGCAGTTCCAGGATGTGATGACTACAGGATGGACCCCACAGAAGGGCAGGGTGTGTTCTTCCCCATCACAGAGGCCCTAGAGCCCAGGGCCCTCAGCGGGCCTCAAGAGCCTGGACTCTAGCCCAGGGCACCATCTCCCTGCGCGGACATCTCCATCACCTGCCTCTTGGGCTATCTTTCACCCTCAGCTTCCAAGGCTGCTCAACCCCTTCTTCTGAAGAACCTATTCTTTCTTTAGAGCTACATCTGGAGAACAAGAAGCCCCTCACTCTTTTTAAGGGTAATAGCACACTTCCATTCCAACCATCATCTGTGGGTTTGCAATTAGTATTTTTGAAAATTTTTATTAACATACAATGTATTATTAGCCCCAGGGGTACAGGTCTGTGTATCACCAGGTTTACACACTTCACAGCACTCACCATAGCACATACCTTCCCCAATGTCCATAACCCAACCACCCTCTCCCTATTCCCCTCCCCTCCGGCAACCCTCAGTTTGTTTTGTGAGATTAAGAGTCTTTTATGGTTTGTCTCCCTCCCGATCCCATCTCGTTTCATTTATTCTTTTCCCACCTCCCAAACCCCCCCATGTTGCCTCTCAACTTCCTCATATCAGGGAGGTCATATGATAATTGTCTTTCTCTGACTGACTTATTTCGCTCCGCATAATACCCTCTAGTTCCATCCACATTGTCGCAAATGGCAAGATTTCATTTCTTCTGATGCCATTTGATGATTAAAGGCAGTCTGATTCCCACATTCTTGGGAGAAGCCTTGCAGGGGGCACCAAGCATTGGCAACAAAACCCACAGCAATATACTAAGTACAAATCACTCTTTTACAGCAGAATTTTAAGTTACTGTGTTTCCACAAAATGATCTTTCTAGAAGTCAAGTTTTCTTCCCTCATTCATTCCAAAAAAATGTATTTACTGAGTGTCTGCCATGAATGCTGGGCACCATGCCAGTGTTGGGGATACAGTGGTGAACAGAGTGGTCTAGGTCTGCTCCCAGGAATAAGTAAACATAAACTCTTCAGTGATCTCGGGTAGTGATAAGCGCTATGCGGAAAAGAAAAGTGGCTGATAGGGCAGAAATGTGGGCGCTGCAAAGAGGGTGATCAGTGCGGCCTGAGAGACCTGAAGATAAACGGGGGGGGGGGGCAGGAAGTGCAAAGGCATCAACAGCAAGCATGGCACTCTCAAGGCACACTGTATAGTCAATAAGGGGGAAAGAAGTAAAACAGGATGGAGAGGCGGACAGGAGTTAGGTCACATACGGCCTTGGCCTTGGAAGTCAAGGGCTGGGCGGGCACAGATTTCACTGTGAATGGGAAATTACCAAAGGGGTTTACGCAAAGGGGGCTCTGTGATCTAATTCATGCTTTAAGAGATCACTCTGGCTGCCACAGAGGAAATGGGCTGTAGTGGAAACACCGAGGCAGCCAGAGAGACTCGTATTTTTATCTGCACAGCTATGCTTACTATGTACCAAGTGTTTAAATATTAATGTTTATTGACTGATCACGGCCTGATAAGGGTTACAGTAAAACCTGGTCCTTGCTCTGAGAGTTTCGAAAGTGAAAGTGGTGACAGATCTAGAGGATGGGCCAGGAGTTTCTGAGCACCTTCCCTGAGACACAGGACCGCAGGACTGAGGACACAGCAACTCTGCGCTCACCCAGAGACCAGGACCATTTCTGGTGGCAACTTTCTCTTTTGTTCTTTCCTTGAGTAAACTGATACGGAAAAAACCTTCCAGCAACAGCACTTGATCTGTTCCTGTGTATGCTATGCACGCTAATAATGGAGGAACAAAAGCTGCTCACACACATGTCCTCTCACAGAACATTCTACCAACAGAAACTGTTGTCAGTAATGACAGAAAAGATGAGATGAGGTATAAAGACAGGTCAGGTATTTCATGTAGACCAAGCAGCTAGAGTGAAGATTTACCACACAAAAATCACTTGAGAAGGGACAGTTCCCCAAAAAATATGAATTTGGGAACTGATTCATACAACCTGCCCAGAGAAACATGCAAACATTCTGAAATAATCTTATGATAATCCAATCTGCCATTTCTTGCCTAATGTTTCATTTACTTTAGGACTACAATCAGGTGTGGGATGTCTTCATCTAAAAAAGCCAACAAAAATATATAACATACTAGGTCAACAGAGAAGAGAACAAAGCTATCTGTCTGTCCACCTGTATGTCTGCCCACCTTCCCACCTTCTTGCTCCTTTTACAGATGTCTGTTAGTGGCCACTAGCTGCCAGGCCGTGAGCAAGGTACAGAGATCCCATGTATATATGACAAAGGGGGTCCCCTTGTCCTCCTCGGGGCACAGAAGAGACACTGAGTGACTAACTACCCAAACAATTAACTACAGGGAGATAAACACCCCAATCCGAAGCCACCGCACGGAAGCTGGCGTCAAGAAGCGGGAGCTTGCTGCATTCCAGGGACTAGTTAGAGAAAAGCACCCAGCCGACACAGGACAGCAGACATCCTGCTTTAGGAGCTGTGCTCCTCAAATGACGAGCGACAGGGAAGGGGAAGGCCCAGAAAGAGACAAGCTGTTACCCCTTCAACCCTCAGCCACAGATGGGTCCCTCGCACGGGGGGGAGACGAAGAGTGCCCAGGGTGTACCTGATAGTGATGCGCCTCTTTCTCTGGGTGCATCTCCATTTTCTGAGCTCGCTTTTCCAGAACCACTGCTGGCATGTTCGCCGTTGGTTAAATCTGTCTTTTCGGGAGTCGTTGGTTTGCTCTGTGCCTGGCTCTGCTTCAGATGACTGAACTTTGGGGACACTGTTGCAGCTTGGATCACAGGGGACTGGGGTTTTGATGGGATTGATCTTTCCAATTCTCTGGCCTCCTGTAACTACAAGGCAACAAAAAAGGGATTCAGTCTAAATGCTCCCAGCACTGGGGTGCTTGGCTGGCTCAGGCGGTGGAGCCTATGACTCCTAATGTCAGGGTTGTGGGTTCAAGCCCCATATTGGGTATAGAGATAACTTAAAAATAATAAAATCTTAAAAAAAAAAAAAATAGGTCCCAGCATTTTGAGAAGGACCAGAAAATTTGCCAGTCTGAAGGATAATGTTTTAAACAGAAGGATAACATTTTAAAAAGGAAATAAATTCTTCTGACAAACTCAAAGCAAAATCTGAATGCTGATTCCAAAACCCAAGCTAGATTCTTTCTCTGCCTTTTAAAGCAAGAACAGAAACAGAATTCAGAGAAGGATGCACTTTAAAATGAAACTGTTCACACATTGGGTGTGCAGTGCCCCCAGCAGCTGATGACTGCCACCACTCACCACTTGGTTTTCCATGCGCGTGAAAATGACGTTCAGCATCTGAGTGAGGGTAGCCTTGGCAGTGGTTTGATTGATGAGATTTTTGCTGGCCAAATAGATATTGTAACATGTCCTGACTGTCTGCAGGATAGTGCCCTCATGAATTTCAATGTGTGGGGATGTCACCGCTGTCAGAAGAGCCTAAAACAAAAATCCACAAGCTTCACCTTCACAAACATCCACCTGCCTCCCATCCTCCCACAGCCAAACTTTTCTACAGGGTTTGGCTTTGTTTGGTTTGGTTTTGTAAATGGTAAGAAGATGGCTCTGCAAAGCAAAACTCCCTATTGCTCTGAGCTTAAAGATAATTATTAACCTATAAAATTCAAATTATTTGCCATAATCAAGTTGTGTTGAAGAGGGCTTTCTATCAATATACTTTTTTAAGAGGCAAAAACACAGTTCTCTCAGAAGGGAAACCGCTTTAACTTGGTCTCACCTATATTAATCACTAAATAGACAGGTTTTGATAGGCAGTCCGTGTCCCAGTTCCCTGGAGGGTTTTCAAGAGAGGTTCAACGGCGGCTAACATGGAGCCATCCCGCACAAAGATAGCACAGTGAGGACTTCAGATCTGGAACGCTGGCTAAAGCCCTCCCGATTCTGTTCTCCCGACAAGAAGACGGTACTGTCACATGCCAAACAAACCACTTCTGGCAGTGGAAATGGAATAGGGAAATGGAATGGGGGGTGGGATGGGAGCAGGACAAGAGGACAAGGGGCAGATCGGTGTAAGGTTATCCAGGACCCACTGAGAAATGGCAGACCCGGAATCCAGGATTTCAAGGAGAAAAGCCCAGAGGATTTCAAGCCCACTCAACTGCCAAGCAATTTACATTGTTATTAGGGCAACTGTTTACTTTGGAAACACACCTGGTTCCACTTTTCTTGTCTCAGTCTGTGCTAATAAATTCTGACACTTAACAAAAGATCTAAGCGACGCTTACACTCTTCTGCGCCAGCTCAGGACCACCTGAGACAACTAACACATGGTAAATCAGAAACCGAAATTCCCAAGGGAGACTAGCTTTCTTATTTAAAAATCCAGACCAGGCCAACAAACAGAAATACCTTAATTATTTGTAACTGAACTCCTTCATCGGTCTGAGGGCCCTGAAAACAGTTGCAAATGGTTTCAACGATCCTGTCGATGAGCCGCTTCCCCGGGGCTCCACTGTCAGGGGCATTGCCAGTGATGTGCCCATATGCGATGAGTTTCTAAATGCAGAAAGAACAAAGATGAAAGGTTTCTGCCTGGCCAGGACTGAGGCTGCCCAGGGCAACAAAAGACAGGCAGTAGTAAGCTTGGCCTTAACTTCTGGTTCCCACAGACCCCTCGGCTCCCCTGGGGCATGGCAGGCACAGCCACCCTATGGCTGCAGTGTTCACCCCCCTCCCACTCTCCCACGTCTCCCACGGCAGAAGAGCCCCAGGCGAAAGCCTATCCAGTGGAACAGGCAAGGTGTAGAACAGTCACGGGTACACAACTACTAGTGTGAAAAACTGATGGCCTAAAAGCAATACATAATGGAGACAGGAAGTAGTTGGTGGCTGCCCAGAGCTGGCGGGTAGGGGGTGGTTTAGAGAGAAAAGGGGAGTGACTGGTGATGAACCCAGGGTTTCTTTCTCAGGTGATAAAGATGGTCTACAATTAGATTGTGGGGATGGATGCACAAGTTCGTCAATGTACAAAAATCACTGCATTGTACACTTCCAATGGGTGACTTGTATGCATGTGAATTCTATCATGAGCTGTTAAAAACCATACATATGGGGTGGGTTTTTTTTCTTTTTAAAAGGAAAGATACATAAGAAACAACCCATCATGTGTTTTGCTGGAGGGCGGAACTCAATTCTGCACCTATGTTATCAAACGTGTGTCAACCCAGTGGCGGAAGAAGTGGGGGGCTGCCTGGGCCACGCCTTCTTGGTAGGGCTACTGACTGGCTTGGACAAGGGCTGCCTTTCCGAGGCCTGTGCCATCTCACTTAGGACCTGCATTTCACCGTGGAGAATCTGAAAGCTGGAAAGGAAGTCAAAGGTTAGGGGCAGGATGATTTCCAAGCCTGGCCACGTCACAGAATCACCTGAGGGAGCCCATGACAAACAGAGACTCCCAGACCTCAGTGAATCAGAACTTCTGGGGGGACAGCCTGGCCATCAGAGTTTTTCTCCAAGCTATCCAGGTTATTTTGAGAGTCGACCAGATAAAGTAATCAGTCTTCTAACACAACCCCTCTAGGATATGTGAATTCGAAGGCATCCTCTGCTTCCACTGACTTAAAGACTCTTTAAACTGCTGTTCTGTTCTCTGTTCTTTATCCTTTTGGGTTCCTAATTTGTCATCTCCTTGCTTCTACATGCACAAAGTGACATACGGGCCTGAGGTTATCTACGGTGCCACCACCACTATGCTGGGAAGACCTGCCACTTCGCAGAGGCCCGACTCCATTTCTCAACAGCTTTCCCCCCATCATTAGCTCGGGAAGCACCACCATCCAGCAAGCAGAACAAGCTGGGTTAAGAGAGAGGGGCTGAGCCTAGAACCGGATCCTGCTAAACTGTGTGACTGAACAAGCAGGAGAGGTCTGCGCACCCTCTGCTGATCAACTCCAACCCCAGAGGGCACCAGAAGGGGCAGGGGATGGGAGCAGCCGTGCGGAAGGTACAGAGGGTGGGGACGGTGCTGAAATGTGTTTCTGAAAAAGAGCTCAAGATGCCCTAAATTACCTCAACCCTCTCCCTGCTGCTGGACATGCAGGCTTCCGAAGCAGGTAGTGCTGGCCACCTGGTAAGTGAACTCAGGTTTTTGACACTGCTTATGCCTTACCCCTAATGGTGCACAAGCCTGTCCGGAGCACCAGATTATGAGTGGGATGGTTCTGAACTCCTAAAATGTGAATGTTGAAAAATAGGCCCCGTAGAACCCAGCAACGATGTTGCAAAGCAAGGCAGAGGTGAACTACTGTTGAATTCAAATTCGAGAAAGGACTGGAAGGAGTCTCTCTCTTCTACAGGCTGAGAGCACCTGCCCCTTCAAGTGGGACAGGGTTTTAAAGTGGCTTTACTCCCCTGTCTGTGCAGTGACACAGGGCCAGCAGAAAGCAGAGTTCCTGCGTCCTTGGGTATTTCTAGTTCAGCCCTCTTACCCCTCCTTGGGCCAGATATTGGCCTGGGCACTGGAGGTACAACAGGGAATAAGACGGTCCTTCTTCTCCTGGAGTTTATATTCTCCAGGGCAGGGGCAGACCAAAGCCAAAGGTCCTGGCTGGGATCTCCAGGGCCCTGTCTGATTTGTAGACTCTTTAAAAAAAAAAAAGTTGCAGTGATAATGCACAGCATTATCTCATTTTTGGAAAATAAAAACTACGTGACTGTGTATTTATGTAAATGTACAGAAAAAAGCCCGGCAACATAGATGAGGTCCAGCAGCGTGCTTGGCAAGCTCCCTTGAGGAAAGGGCTTTGCACAGTGAGTGGGGTGGAAAGTTACTGGCAGGTTTAAGGATTAACATGATGTGGTACATTCCTAAAGGGTCCCTCCAGTTCCTGCATGGAGAACTGCCTGGAGGGCCACAGGAGTGGGAGCAGGGGACCAGTGAGGCTACGGCAGCTGTCCAGGAGGGAGACGCTGGTGGCTTGAACTCTGGGAGGATGACATAGATAGAGGGTAGAAAATCCTGCTTTATTCCTTGTTGATGGGATGAGATGGGAAAAGGGCAGAGGAGGGAGGCCTCCGGGCAGCTGGCTCACGGACCTTATGTCCAAGGAGGCTGCCTGCACGCGGATGTTCACTTTACTCTATTTGTCAATGCCCCTCTACAGGAGAAGAGGTAAATAAAATGATGGCATAACATACCATGTATCAGTCAAAAGGATGCACATAGCCATACAGCTAGATCTTAAAAACGCTGTGGAAAGTGAAAAGCAAGCTCCAGAACACCTGAAACTTACATACCATTATATGTCAACTACACTCCAATGATAAAGACTTCTAAAAAATTATTTTAAAGAAAAGTATTGAATACATAATGATGAAGAGTGTAGATATGGGAGAAATTGTGAGGGTGAAACATGACTGACTTGGGTTTGAAAAACAAGGAACCCTCATCATATTTGGTCCTTGTCATCGCCTATGGAGGCAAATGGCACTATTGTTATTCTATGAGGATTCCAGACTCTGGAAAGGTTAAAGAACTTGTCCCAGGTGTCTCAGTGACATGTTAAGCCAATATATAAATGCTAAGCTATCTGTGACGCACCTGTGCTCTTTAGCCTTGACTTATTTTCCTCCTTTATGGACAAGAAGTTGTATTAGGTTGGGTCATATGAAGTTCCTGATATGTTTTTCACTCCATAAGAATGACAATTTCATGTGGTTCAACCTAAAATATTATTAAAATGAGAAATTCCTGGGGCGCCTGGGTGGCTCAGTGGGTTAAAGCCTCTGCCTTCGGCTCAGGTCATGATCTCAGGGTCCTGGGATCCAGCCCCGCATCGGGCTCTCTGCTCAGCAGGGAGCCTGCTTCCCTCTCTCTCTGCCTGCCTCTCTGCCTGCTTGTGATCTGTCTGTTAAATAAATAAATAAAATTTTTTTTAAAAAATGAGAAATTCCTCGTATCTAACTAACATTCTAAAGATGCAAGTAAATTAGGGAAACTTGTCAAGTTCATAAAATAAAAATCTACCACCCACAGGCAAGAAAAAACACAAACAAGAAAGGAAAAAAGTAGATGACCTGACAGGCAACTGAACTTGGGGCTAGTGGTCTAAGGGATTTCAGCCTTATCGTAAAGTTCTAAAAAAATTTTTAATAGAGATTGTAGCCATGTAAAACTTTTATACAATTATGAATGGATTTTACAATGTGCTTTAAAACCCCAAAGTTTTCTAGAAATAAGAACTAAAAGATAATGCCTGTGGTATGAACAAAGGACAGCTGAGACCAGTGGTTTCCTACAGTCCTCACTGGGACATAGAAAGAATATACTACCATTCTATTCTTTTTTTTTTTATCTTTTTAGAAGTTCTATTTTTGTATGTTTATAATATATGTAATGTAATAGTAGTACAAGTATATAATGTTACCAGTGAAGAAATATGAATACATTAGAAGGATATTCTCAGAAAAAATCTGGTTACTGATATATGCCCAGGGAACCTGGGGATCATGCACTGAGTAAGGCGAGACTGAACCTAATGTCCCTCCCCTGGGGGTGGGTTTGGGGTGGGGGAAACGTGTGGCAGACCAGGTGCTGAAAAGGAATAAAGAGAATCTTTATCTTTTGGTAGAAGTGAGCTGCAGGAGAACTCTCAGGTTTCTCTCAGTGGGAAGAGGGAACTCCAAGCTGTGTTCCAGACAAACCAAACCCATAGCCCCTTTGCCACCCCATCCCCTCTCCAAGCTCAGAGAAGGATGCCTTGAAATGGCCAGGGTAGAACGTGGATGTGCCTGCAATGGCTTCAATTCTGCTCAAACCAACCTTTGCCCCTGGACACTAGCCTTCCATTTCCAAGACGGAAGTCACCTCTCCCACACTGGGAAAAGCCAGTCGAGCAGGCTTGGCAAGGACAACGTCCAAGAGCAAATGAAATTTTCATTCAGTATTCCAGGGAGCGCTGTGTCACTTTCTCATGTCATAAAAAGGACGACACAGCTTGCATTTTGTATAATGACCAAAGAAATCTGAGTATACCTACTACATCACAGAGAATTTCTAATCCAACCAAAAAAAAAAAAAAAAAAAAGAGCTAATCTTACGTTGTAGGCCTCAAGACACTCTCATATTTATAGCTCAAATCAGGACAGTGGGCCGAAGTAGAGCAGGATGTCAATATTTCTGTTCCAGAGTTCCAAAAACACACTATTTCCAGGAAAATACAGAACATAAAATATCAACAGCACATTTTTAATCAAAGGGCCAGAACCACAGAGTAGCAGTTAAAAGTGGTCAGCAACCCTTTTTCTGTAAAGAACCAAATTTTTAGGCTTTCTGGTCTCTGTTCCAATAACTTAACTCAGCCGTAGTACACGGAGAGCAGCCAGAGATAATAAACAATGGGCACAGCTGTTGCTATGCACTGAATGTTTGTGTCCCCCTGCTGAAGCCTGGCTCCCAATGAGATGGTATTAGGTGGTAGGGCCTTTGGGAGGTGATTAGGCTTAGGTTAAGAACATGAAGGTGGGTCTTCATGATGGGATCAGTGCCCTAGAAGAAGAGAAGGTAGATCTGGTGTGTTCTCTCTGCTATGTGAGGACACAGCTGACAACACTCAGCTGTCTACAAACCAGGAAGAGCGCTCTTACCAGGAAATGAATAAGCTGGCACCCTGAGCTTGCCCTCTCCAGCCTCCAGAACTGAGGGAAATAAATATCTCTTAAGCCACCTAGTCTGTGGTATTTGGTTATATTAGCCTGACTAGTTTCCAAAACAACTTTACTTACAAAAGCAGGTGGCAGGCCAGATTTGGCTTATAAATGTAGTTTAACAAGCCCTGGTTGAGAATTCAGATGGCGTTGGCAGAGTTCTAGATACCCCATTCTACCACTTCCTGGGCAGGGGGAGCTTGGTAGGGCTGGTCACTTTATTCTTTATTTGGAATTCTCAATTTCAAAATGAGGATGAGAGTTAAGTAAGTGTTGCTGGGAAGATTAAACATGATGCTATGGACAGAGCATTGAGCACAGGGCCCAGCACAGGCCAGGGACTCAACAGCCACTGTTCTTAGTACATCGGTAATGTTAACTGTGAGCACCAGCTTCAGAACTAGACTGTAACATGAGAAGAAAACAACTAAATTTAAACTTATGCCAAATTTCCTCAGAAAATTTCACAGCAACAAATATTTTAGGATGGAAGGAGGACTTGGGCCTGCCATTTAAGAATTCTTGGCTCATTATATGTTTCACATAGGACAATCTGTACAGAATTATATTGAATGAGAAAATAGCTTTTCATTTGGAAGAACTGCTTCTGTGAAGAAACTGTCACCAACTTTCAAGTACAGATATATCAAAGGAGCAAGATTAATAGAGTAAATATTAGACTGGAGATGCCAAAAACGTGGCATGCCCACCGCCACTTGGCAGCCTGTGCCTCAGCAGACATCAGCAATCGATCACTGTACTTTCTCAAGAAACCCGGATGACACTTCAGATAGCTTTTCTTTTCTTTTTTTTTTAAGATTTTATTTATCCATTTTTACAAAGAGAGAGTGTGCATGCCACACAAGCAGGGGGAAGGGCAGAGGCACAGGGAGAAACAGGCTTCCTGCCGAGCAAGGGATCAAGGAGCCTGATGTAGGACTTGATTCCAGGACCCCGGGACCATGACCCTAGCTGAAGGAAGATGCCTAATGGACTGAGCCACCCAGGTGTCCCCAGATAGCTTTTCAACCCAGCTTCTGAGCAATCATAATATAGAACCTATTCACTATGCCTGCTCTAGAAAGTACTGGTAAATTTTGGACCTTCGAATATAATTTTTTAATTCATCAAGCTTTTTCCATTGATGTGTAGGTTTCCTGCTGCGGCTAAGGATAAAAGTGAGGTAACCAGGAACCTCAGGAGTAGATCTTAAAAAAATATATAAGAATGCTGGACCAGGAATTACAAAACCCAAGTTGTAGCCCTGTTTCTGTCTTTCATACCTGTGTTATTACTGGACAAGCCATCTTAACTTCTCTAGTCGTTTCTTCATCAATCAAAGGTAATTTATCACAAAGTCACTGTGGCTCTCACATAGTCGATCCTTATCATTCCCAGATCCTGTATTTGCAAATGTAGCCATTCAACTAAAATTTATTTGTAAGCGCCAAGTCAATACTTGCGGCACTTTTGCAATCATGTGTGGACACATGCAGAGCAGTGAAAAAAAATCAAATCACTTGATGCACAAGTTCTCAGCCGAGGTCAAACAACGAGACACTCTATCTTCTGGTTTCAGCTCTTCTACTGGGAGCAGTATCTTTTCTGTGGCCTATTTCCCGCCACTTTTTTTTAAATTCTTTGCTTTTTTGTCCATTTTGGTGTTTGGTGGTTTTTTTGCCATTTAAAAGGCTCCCTAAGCACCATGCTGAAGTGCTGTGTACTGTCCCTAAGAGCAAGAAGGCAACAATGTGCCTTTACAGAGAAATTACACGTTAGGCGAGCTTTGTTCAGGCACGTGTTACACTGCTACTGACTGTAGGTGCAACGTTAGTGAATCAATAAGATATAGTAAAGAAGGCGTCTTTAAACAGAAACACACAAAAAACAAAATTATGTATTGCTTTATATACTGATCAGCTGATGAACGTGCTGACGCCAGAGGCTCACAGGCACCTTATCCTGTATTTCCTGTGGGAACAATGGTTCAGTATATGCTTATTCCACATTCACATGGTCTTTATAGAATATTACCACAAATGATGAATAGTGATTATATCTATTTCTCCATTTGATATTCTGAACTTTAATGCCATCAAGAAAGAGGTGGCATAGAAATATTGCACATGCCCACATGTACCCCCATTTCCAACTAATCCTAAAGCTTTCAGTTAGAAAAACATACATAAGAGAGTACAACAAAGTACTTCCAGGGGAACACATTCTTGTTCTGGCTGAGGAGGTTGGACCTCTTACCCTGCCCTCCCTCATGAAACTTCCAAAAAGAACACACTCCTTCCTCCATCAGCCTGGAGGCTGCAAGGACCGCCAGTGGCTTGGAGAAAACCCTCTTTACACCACCAAGTTTCAACACGGTACCTGCAAGCAGTCGAGGGACGTGCTGACCACCCGTGGGGACTTGGACTGGCAAGCTAGCTCAAACGGAAGGAAATACTTGTCAGCTTCAATGAAGTTCGCCTTTGGTGGTGCGGCAGCGCCAAGCCTAGGGAAAAAGCAGAAGAGGGCCAGAGAGGGGAAGTGAAAAAACAAAAAATCTGCTTTTCCTACACCTCTAGCTTCCCATCCCACTTGCCAGTGCCCCTAAACTGTGTCTTCGAGGTGAGACCATTAAAAATGGAAACACATGTGTTAGGACAAATGACCAAAGTGTCACAGGCAGAAGCAAGGTCTCTGATTAGCAAGCTACGTCGACAGCATCCTGGACTGAATGCTGGCATCAGCCATGTTCTGAAACACGACCAACTGGCTTTTTAACTACGAAGATGAGGAGCAGCCACTTCTGGGGCAAGCTGTCTTCCTGCCCAAGGAAGCAAGACATACAGGCCAAGAGTTTTGCCTCGCCTGTCAAGAAAAGCTACAGCAGCATGAACCTGATCCACTTTATCCTTTCCTGCAAATGTGCAGTTACTGGGTTGGTAACCTACTAACCTAGCATCTGTTCAAACACATCCAGAGTCCTGCCCTGTGCCAGCACCATGCTAGGAGAGTGTGTGCCACCTGGGAGCCATGAAATATGAGAAAACATGGACAGAAAGGGGCTCCCATGGCCACTACCTACTCCCTTAATACCATATTTCAGCAAGGAGAAAAGCTTACTTACCTCTGCTTTTCTATTTCTGCTTTAATTTCATCTGGTGGGGAAGAAAGAAAGCCATGTTAGGAGCATGTAACATTTACATGAAAGAACATTTTACTGAAAGATATTTAGAAAATATTAAAAAGAATGTTTATGCGCTTTTAAAGAATGAAATGCTGATATGAAATGATAAAAAGTGACAGTAATAATAGCTAACACGGACATGGAGGTTACTCTGTGCTAGGTATTGCTCTAAGTACTTTACATACTTTTATTTACTTAACCCTCCAAACAATCCTATGAGGTGGGTGGTATTTACCTCCATCTTATTTAGAGCAGGACCTCTCAACCGAGACACTACTGACATGGTGACCCCGGGGAACAGGTGACCCATGGGGCAGTCCTGTGCTCTGTAGAATGTTCAGCAACATCTCTGTCTTCTACCAACCGGGTGCCAAGAGCAACCTCCTGCAGTCTGGAAAACCAAAAATGTCTCTAGACATGGCCGAGTGTCTCCTGGGGCAAAACTTCCCCAGCTGAGAATCACTGATTTAGATGAGAAGCCATGGCACAGAAAGGTCAGGTGACTTGCCTTGTGTGACATATCAGGAACTAGGGAACCAGAATTTGAATCCAGGCATTTTGGCCCCATAGTCCAATGTTCTAACTATTTCCCCATTCTGCAAAATCTATGTTAATGATAGCTACCACACTATTATGGTCATGGAATAACATTTCAACTGTGTAAAAATATGTATAGAAGATTGGCAACAAACAGAACAAAAATCTGTGTTAAGAGAAGGACTATTTTTTCTTTTTTCACATTTTCCATGATAAGCATATATACTTCGTTATTTTTATAGACAAGGTTTTTTTTTAATTTAAAAAAATGTTTTAAAATTAAATTTAAAAAAATTTTTTTAAGATTTTATTTATTTATTTGACAGAGCTCACAAGTAGACAGAGAGGCAGGCAGGGAGAGAGAGAGGAAGGGAAGCAGGCTCCCCGCTGAGCAGAGAGACTGATGTGGGGCTCGATCCCAGGACCCCGGGATCACGACCTGAGCCAAAGGCAGAGGCTTTAACCCACTGAGCCACCCAGGTGCCCCTTAATTTAAAATTTTTAATTTTAATTAGGCAACACCTAAAAATCTACCATCTTAACCATTTTTTAAATGTACAGCTCAGTATATTGACTGCACTCATACTGTTGTGCTAAAGCATATGCAATTTTTATGAATTAAAAACTTTTTACCACGGAGGTTATAGCAACTACCCAGTAAAGGTTATAGAAATAAAGTGTCATTATTCACAAATCACAACCTCAGAGAGATGGTCTCATTTCCAGGGGAACAAGGTTCTGTGCCCTGGAAACGAGAGAACACTCCATCCAGATACAGAGAGGAGCCTCCCCGCCCCCTCCATCAGATGTACTCCTGCACACTGGGCTCCTCGGGTTCAACATATTTTCAAAGCGCCACTGAAGTAAGTCTGCAGTGTATGCCGTGTATTTAGATATCTCCAAAAGGGCAGCCTTTTCACAGTCCATGGAGAACCAGTGGTTTGGATACGGCATTAGTTATCCCAGCAACACAGTTTGGTAATTATAAATTTCCTTTTCTCTGAGAACTCCTGTTTTAGACCAAGCTAGGAAGTGAACACTGAACAACTAGACAGGCTCACTAGAGGTGGCAATTTCTAACCTTCAGGCCAACCTTCCAATGTCTTCTCACTACACGCATAAGAAAATGGGTGAGAAACACCCGGATGACTGATATCGAGTGTTTTGCTCATGGACCACCAGGGCTGTGACACTGTGACACATGGGGTCTGTTAAAGAGAGCTCTGTGGCATGGTTCCTTCCCTTTGGGGACAAGAATCCACTAAGGAAGTAGCTGCGGCTTCCTCTAGCGGAGGCCCCCAGGCTGTGGGAAGGGCCCAGGAGGCTGGCAGCCAAGTTTGCAGAAATCTATATCCATAGTATCAAGGCCATGCTCCGTGATTAAGATCATGTCACTGTGTGACACGCCAAAGGGGAGCTGCTGCTCAAACTCCAATGTAAGGTTTCCTTCCAACCATGGTTACTCTGTCAGAGTTGAGATGTTCAATGTAACTGAAGCAAGGAGGCCTTCACTAGAGTCTGTGCTGGCCTCTGAGCTCCAAAATAATCTGTTCTGGAAGGTCACCGGCACGAACTCACCATTGGCTAAGGCATGGTCTGACCTATAGCAGGTGGCCAACAAATGAGGTCTCTTGCTCTTTTCTTAAAAAAGGAGCCAGAAATAGTGCAAAATTTCTAGTGCCATTGACTGAACCAAGCAGAGCCAAGGGGCAAAAGAAAATGAAGGGCACGTGCCCACTCAATCCTCACCACAACCCAGGAAGGCCAGAGCACTCTTGTCCTGTAACTGTAATATGGCTGAGGACCCCAGGCACACACATGTGAAGTCACCTGCCCACCATCATAGCCACCAAGTGCTACTGCAGAGTCAGGATTCATACCCAGGCTGTCTGTTCCAGAGCAAAACTCCAGAACCCCTCAGTGAGGAGACAGAGCAGGAGGATGGGTGAAGGAAGGGGAGCATATGGTAAGGCACGCCTGCTCTGGTTTATCGCTTCACATTTTAATAGGCACTGCTCTCCCAACAGCCAACTGGGCTATCAGCAGTCATAAATGAGCAGGCTGGAAAGCAGGGAGACCTGAGTCGGGTGGGGCAGCTTCCACTGAAAAGCAGCACTATCTTCCTAGGAAGTACTTTCTGGGCATCACTTCTATCTATGAACCCCTAGGGTCAGACCCCCCATTCACTGTGACTTGGCACCGACTTTTGCTCCACTCCCAAGCTGAGTCCAACAACCACCTTCACCAACCTCAATATCCCATCACGGATCAAGTTGCCCAAAGTCCCTGCAAACCTTCAACTCTCCGCCACACATCTGACCTGCTACACACCTGCCTCCTATACAAACCAACGCTGCCCTCAATTCCTTCAACTTCCCGCCAACGTCCTCCTCCTCTGCTCCAAGCCAGGCTGGTGTGGCTGGTCACACTTGGAACCTGGTCCCTATGTGTAACTGTGGCACTTCCAGCTCCTTCCTGTTCCATACTGTCAATCTCCTTTCCTTCCAGATGTCCTACTCAACTGACCTCAGCAGGGTCTTTCTTTGGCCTGTCAGATCTTGATGAGTCCAAGACCTCAGCTTTCCCCAGTCTTCAGTTTCCAGGGTGGGTTCCATTGGCATGACCATTATCAGATGACAGGCAATCAATAGCCATGACTTTGACCTTTAATTTCTGGCCAAATCCCAAACTTAGATTATACTACCATCTCCTTTTGACCTGTCTCCACCTAACAACCAGATCTCTGACAACAGGGCAAGTTGGTAGGGCTAGAGAGCCATAATCACCAACCACAAACGGAACCCCATATCATGCCAGGTGAGCCCATCTCCTCTATCCTCCACAGAGGATTGCATGTTTCTCTGCTCTCCTCAAATACCCCACCTCCCCTCCTAAACATCTCCCCTCCTCTTTACTCAACCCATGGAGTGATCTCCTATTTCATTTACAGATTAGAAGCTGCCACAAGAAGACCTCCTCAATTTACCACTAGAGAACCTACAAACCGACCCACTTCTGTACCCAGCCTCCACTCTCCTGCCAGAAGACAGGGTCCAATCACTCCACTTCTGCAGTCTCCATCCCTATCTGCCTCTTGGGAACTTCATGCTCTCCGTTCCATCTAGAATCTGATCACTTTTCACCATGCTGGGCCACCAGCACTACCTACCATCCATCCACACTACTCCAGCTCTCACCTACCTCCCACCCCATATCTTTCTTCATACAGCAGCCAGAGGGACTTACTTCAAATGTAAATGAGATCACATCTGCTCAAAACAGATTATCCATAACCCTTATAATATAAATCAGATTACATCTGCTCCTTTCCTCAAAACTTTCCACTGGCTTCCCATCTCACACTAAGTAAAATCCAAAATCTTGACCTTGGGCTCCAAGCCTCCGTAAGATCTGGCCCCGGGCCATCCCTCTGATCTCACCTTCCACCACCCTGCCCCCCCCAGCCTGCTTGTTGCATGTTCCAGTTTCAGGGACTTTGCAATCCCTATTCCTGCTGCCTGGAATGCCCTCCCTTCCCCCAGATAGCCGCATGGCTCCCTCCCTCCCTTTCTTCCCTCAGGTCACCGTTCAAATGTCACCTTCCCTCACCACCTAAAACTGCCATCTCTACCAGGCCCCCATAATTCTGTATCTCCTTACATGCTTTACTTTTTCACTTTACTCTGGTTTATTTTTCCAATCTCTCTTCACAGTATTTACTGCCCTTGACATATTATTTGTTCATATGTTATCTGTCTTCCCCAGGACAATAGAGACTATGACAACAGAGACTTTTGTCTGTTCTGTTCACTGCAGAATTTCCATCACCCAGGAATTCCTAGGCAGAGAGTAGATACTCAATATTTGTTGAATGAATGAACTGTCCTTTCTCTTTCCTGCATTATTTAACCTCTCACTTAACTGGCTCCCTTCCCAAGTTTCAGCCTCTAAAGAAAGAAAAGATTAAAAAAACTTTCCAAGATCCACTCTCATCCTCCCCTTTACACTAGAGCCAAACTTCAGCAAAGAGCGGTCTATACTCACTGCCTAGTCCCTCACCTCCCACACAGGCCTCAGCTCACTCTGGTCTGGTTTTCACCTTCACCGCACCCCCAAAGCAGCTCAAGTTAAGGTCACAAATGACCCCCATGCCTCTCAATCGGATTGGCATTTTGCTACTCTCCACCTAATCGGACCTCCCTGCAGCATTTGACCTACTGGCCTCTCCCGCCTTGAGATGTTCTCTACTTCTGCCACCATACCCACACATTTGCCCGGGGCCTGTTTCTTGCCCCAAGTCCTTCCTACTGCCCTTGCAGACTCCACCTCCTCTGCCCAGCCAGGCAGCAGTGGCTCCTGCGGCCCAGGCAGACCTCCTCTGCCTCTCCTTCTCTGCCCACTCTCTCACTAGGCCACCTCATCCTCAGTTCCCAC